TTTTGAGACAGGGTCTCCTAAACACCGTGCTGGCCTAGCACTCACTATGTAACCAAAAAGAACTTCGAAACCATCGTCCACCTGCCTCTGACTCCCGAGTGCTGGAAGGACAGCACACGGAAAATAAGACCATCCCCGACTCACTTTTCAAGCTCGCATCTTGTGGTCTAGGAACTCCCTCCAGCACATCATCGTCATCAGATGGTGAGCTCACAGAGAACGAGCCATTCCCGCCTCTGCAAGTCACTAGACACTTCAGGAAGTCTACACCACACTAACACAGAGCCAACTGTGTTTCATAGTCATTCGTACGCATCAGGCCCCGCACATTTTAATTGAGATATTACTTGCTGTACCTGACGTTACTGAGGTGACCCTGGAAGACAACGGCAATTAAAGGTATCCTAATGTCTTCTTAAAATGGCTTCCTTCAAGGAATTTGTTTCCTGGGGACAAAGCCAAACAGACCCTCTAAATCCATACTCTTTACATCATAAATAATCACCTGACCTGTCTTGCCAACTAATTTAAACAAACTGCTTCTTAATTTTAATTAAAATTTCTCCTTCATGGAGGCCCTTGGAATTTCTATCTGACTCCCTTCTCTCTATCCGGCCTGTATATGTTCCTGCCTTCAAGGTCTCTGAGATTAAACTAGCTTCAAACTAAAATGTTCTTGGGCCTACTATCCTACCCAGCTACATTTCAGCACACTATCCAGTAGGAAATGGCTTATAAGCATGTTTCTACTCTTCTTCTGGAGGAGCTGTGGGAAATGAGACAGGCTCTCTCTCGGCCGAAACTGAAAGAGGAGAAGGAGGCAGAAACGGATGATAAAAAGGATTTACCAATAAACTTGCTCAGAAAACATTAAGTTGCCCAAAAGTTAAATTTAGCCCAAGAGTCTTCCCTCTGCCAGGTGGTTTAGAGATGATCCTGGCTGACAGGTGATCAGTGATCCCTGCACCTCTTCTCAGGAAGAGCAGAATCCCCCGCCCCCCAGGCAGCAGGCTGGCCCTGGGGAGCAGCTGCCTGGAGAAAGCATCCAGGGTCCATCGCTAGAAAACGATGTCGATTACCAACCTTCCAGTTTGTCCAAACAACCAAAGCTTGGAATTTCATTCTGAGAAACAGGTTTAACTCAAAGTGAAAGCTGGGGCCGGGAAACTCTACAAACCGCCAGGGATTTCTGTTCTGGTCAGTTGTGCGTAGTCATTTCAAATCTTTTTCTTATTGACCTCTACATACTTGGAGAGACAACTCTCTAAGAAGGCAGATTAATTCCACACCACAACAAGCACAGAACTTCCATCTTCCCACCCCCATCTCCCAACTGCTGCAGTTAGGTGTCCAACACATTTCTGATTCCCCTATGAAAGGCTTTTTGCTTAGAAACCCAAGGATAGCAGGAGGCAGACTGAACTTTGTGGTAAAAGTGTTAGAATCTATCTCTCAATGTTCAAAGAGTACAAAATGTAACAGCATCCCAGACCTTGGCACAACTGACTCCCTGATGGAGTACAGTTCCTGATGTAAAACTCAGCGCATAGACAGCACCACCTGCCAAAAACTAAAACAAAGGCCTTCCTCAAAGCCCGTAGTCCTGGGAAAGTCTCAAAAAGCACTAACCTTGCTTTTCAGCATCTGCAGTTCGGCTTCTGGCTAACTGTTGTTGTTCACGGAAGTGTGTCAGGCCAGGATGTTTTTTGTGCTTAAAAGCTCACTCTGAGAAAGACTGAGGGATACACTGGGATCCCAAACACCCACAGTCATGTGCCTACTGTGAAGACTTTCTGTCAACTTAAACCAGTGTCTGTCTGAGCGGTCTTCTCTGGTTAAAACCCCACAACACAGAGTACTATTATGCTAGGACCACACACCGCCATGGTGATTTTTAAGTTGCTTGTGGGTGTAAAATGGGATTCATATGAGATTGTGGGTGATTCAGTTTTATCCATCGGTGCAGAAAGAACAGTTGTCTGTCTGGACAACTATTCCGGAAAGGAGAGACTGCAGGAGAGACAGACATGAGACCCCTACAGCTGCAAGAAATTCTTAATTCCCAAGCCCTCGCCCTTCTCCCACAAGAGTCGAAACCAAGTTTTTCCCTTGGCAGACACTTCAATTTCTTCTGGGAGGCTGCACTCGTCTGCACTGATGTTACTCAGTCCTGTCTGTTGAAGGTCTGTCTCCTAACCCTCTGCCTCGGAAACCTAACAGGAACAGCGAAAATGGTCTACCGGGACCCCAAGCCTTTTGCCTCCTCTTGGTTTATTGTTCTCTTTTTCTGAAAGCATGACTGTAGCTCTTCTAGGTGAGAATCTGATATTTCTGCTTGGAATACACACAGATCCGTGTGCAGGTTCTGGGAAAACACAAGCCAGTCTTTCCCCAAATGCTAACACTGCACCTGTCCCGTTTCAGATTTTCCCAATAGACCAAAGCTGCAGGTCAGGGGCTTTTGAGCATAACATAACTCCATGGCTGTGTGCCCATCCACATTTCAAGGGAAAAAAAGATTAATCATAGCTACCTATTAAACTTAGAGGAGACAAGAACCCTATGTAGTCATCAGCCCTTTTATTTTTCTAATCAAAGCTTTAGAACATGCAGTCGCTCTACCATTGTGTGACCCTGTCTTATGAATAATATTCCATCTTGCACAAAAAGCCCGAAAACGTTACTGACTTGGACTGAGCTGTTATCAGTTTTAATCTCTCTTGGCATCCCCATAAGGAAAACACAATATGGCATGTGAAGCTGAATTACCAGAAAGAGCTTTCCCATGTATAACACAGGAGTAAGTATCACTAGAGACATGAGCACACCTTAACTTTCCCGAGTCGGGTAGATGGGTAACATCCGTCTGTTGACCATGATTAACTTTAGTTCCTCTGGGGTTTAACTGTCCGGTCCACTCATTGAAGTTGAGGGTACAGAGGGGTTGTAAGAATGAGTTAGTTGTGAAGCTTGTCCTTTGGTAGTAGAAATTGGTTCTGTAACATCTTAGGAGGTTGATGTCATGGAGCATGTGACTCAACAGCTGTCTCGAATACGGTAGATGCCCATTTATCAACCTCAAAATTATCTTTTTCTAGTTCCGGTAAATTAGAACGTTACCTGAGATGAGTGATTAAATAAAGGGGGTAGACTCTGGCTGGCCATTAGTGTGGAACAACTGTAATAACAATGGACTGGAGATAGTTTTGATCTGTGCTATTTCTGTTCTTTGAGTAATACCCACCACATGCTGTGAATCAGAAAGGCTACTGAGGGGTTTGTTACCTTCAGGAGTATGTAACAGGTCTTCCTTTATTTCACTAGCTCTCTAATAATGACACTGAGACTTTCTTTAGTTAGGAAAACTTAGCCTTAGCTTAGGCTTGTTCCCAACTAGCTCTTACCACTTAAATTAACCCATTTATATTAACCTACATTTTGCCACAACATGTTACCTCTCCTCCATAACCATATGTCCGACTTCCTCTGCTTCTGCTTGGCAAATCTCTGGTGTCTCTGGCTCCTTCCCAGCGTTCCTGGAAGTTCCACTTGTCCTTTTCTGCCTAGCTGTTGACCATTCTTACAGCTCTTTATTAAGACAATCAGAGGTGCCTTAGGCAGGTCAGGTTAAACAGAGATGCATCTTCACCCATCGTACAAAAACATTACCCCAACAGGAGTATAGGTGCTAGGTTACTTACAGGAGCAGAAATTCAGGAACTCAAAGACAGCTGCATCACCAAAGCCGACCATAGCACAGCTGACAGCTCACAAAGGCCAGGTAACCTGGGTAACCGGGGTAACCTGGGTAACAGTTACCCAGCCTGGGGCAGCCCAGCAGGAAGGAGACTGCCCCTTCAAGTCCTCCAGCTGATTTAAGCCTATTCAAGGCGGCTCAGCTGATCTTGGCTTCTTGCTGTTAGCTGGTCTGGTCTGTCTTTGCAGTTTGATTTGTTTACTCTTGGGAAGAGGGTCCTGATGAGACTGTTCGATTTCAGGGACTTCCAGAAAGCGTTACCTTCCTGTGCAAGGAGTGTCTCTACAGGAGGAGATGAATCCATCCTTCACTTACAGCGATTTATGAAAAGGACAAAATAATTTTTAGAAATCCAATTTGATTGAGAATATAAAGGAATGATTTTTAAAACTTTTAAATATAAAACAATTATATGCCAATTTTAAGAGACCTTAGAAGAATGAGGGAGGCCAGGTGGTAAGGATCCCATAGTTTGCATATTGGTATTAATGACTTGTAAATTATTTAATAATCTCCTTTACCAGATTTTTTTCTTAATAGTAAATATATGTTGCCGCCTTGGGTGGGTCACTAGTCTAGGGGTTTGTAACCCACCCTGCAGCTAGTTATTCCAGGGTCTTGGAGGGGCGCTACCTGGAAGGGAATGGGCTAGGACAGAAGAAGGAGGCCAAGCAGATTTGTCAAAGCCCCGTTTATTAGGATCATGGTTGCTGTTTATATAGGCCCTGCGTGAGGACTTGGGGGGGCAGGGAAATTGGACTCTTGCCTCGTGTTCCAGGTCACGTGGTTCAGGTTCGTCACGTAGGCCAGGACATTCGGACAGGTAGGCCAAGAAGTCACGAGTTGCCACACCTGGTTCCCTGGATAGCTGGAATGTGAGGCGCATTCTGCTAACAGATAACAGTTAATTGGGTATGGGGCAGGTTCTGTCAATAGAACATAATTATGGGTGTGAGGTTCCCTGCAGACTCCCCAGGGTGATGGTTCCTGTAATGATTTTTAGGGGGGAAATGGCTCGTGACAAATATAGGTGTATTCCAGAGGATTAATGTGTTGTGCCCAGATTACGACCCCCAGAGAGAGACCACCAGAGAGGCCCAGACTGTAACAAGCAAGGTTTAATCAGCATAATACAAACATGTTTGGATCTCATCTCCATCCCCGTTACAACGAGGTAGAGAGGAGTTGCATCTCCTCTGTGGGGTAAACTTTTAAAGGCATAACTACAAAGAGAATCTTTGAAGCTGCTTTGCCACGGGTACAAGGACTTTTGCTCCCTCCCATTCTGTTAAGTCAGCTTTTTCCTTCTTTTTAGAGCAAGGCCACTGTTGTTGAGTTAGGCCATCTTTATCAGCCTGAACCAGGTGGCTGGCTGGGCTGAGCTAAGTGACCTTGTGCTCGGGATCTCCTGGGTGGGAGAGGGGAAGGCCACTATCTTCCTGGGGAAACATTCTGCTAGGAAATTTCTTCTTGCTCCTTTTGAGAATAAGGAGTGAGAGTCCCACAAATGAAGGCTCAAAATGGCCACCCTGTAACTGTTCCTCAATTGATTCTTTAATAGCCACAAGTTTTTCCTGGGGTAGTGGCCACTGATCAACCCAGACCTTCTTATCTGAAAGCCAAGTAATAGGCTCAGCAGTTCTGAGTTAAAGAGACTCTCTCTCTCTCTCTCTCTCTCTCTCTCTCTCTCTCTCTCTCTCTAAGCAGGCATATCAAAGCTTTTAATTCCTATGGACCGGACTGTTCTGGCAGGTGGCATGTTGCCAAAAGTACAAAAGGAAAGCTCGGAACCAGTCCTTCAAGAGAGACACAGCAAGAGCAGACAGAGTCCTGACTTAGTTGCTGCTTATTCCCAAGTGCAGTACAACTGTGATTAGTTGTCATGACTACCAGTAAAACAATGCGTTGTTGACTTTCCTAGCTCCTTCTCTAGGATATACCCCAAATCAATCACTGAGACTTGAGCGTTAGAACTGAAAGCTGTCCTCACTGGGGACAATAAATCTCTTCACCATAAACTTAATGGTAAAATTTTTTATCACATGAGGAATAAATGATCCAGCATGTCATTCTCTATTAGACCAATTAAGCAACTGAGTGAGTATTCTGCTAAACTTGTTCAGGTATGCCAGCTCCTTTTAATAACCCTATCGGCCAGTTGTAGTGGTCAGGCAGCTGGCCACCATTTATCATGAATTATGATTACAACAGGCCTTGGACCCAATAATCTTAAAAAGGTTTGTTTTCTATTAATATTTCCAATTTGGGGCTGTTTTCTTAGCTTTTGGGGTCACAACTGTTCCCCAAAGCATCCAAAACCTTGATCTTTTTTGGGCACTAGAAGGATTTCTTTTCCCCTCATATATGGTAGAATTAACAGTTGGACAAGTCTGATAAGATCTCCTGAGTAAATTGGGAGCATGGGGGCCATGGGAGAGAATTGAAGGGGAGGGGAGGGGAACAGAGAAAAATGTATAGCTCAATAAAATCAATTAAAAAAGGGGTTGGACAAGACTGAATCCGTGCAGAGCATAATAAGAACTTAAGAAGAAGAAGAACTCCTGTAAAATCTAAATAAATAACTCCGACCCGTGCTTTTGTCTTATTGTGTTCCCTAGCTGGTGCCAATCCTTAGGAGCTCAGTTTCACTCTTCAGGGAAGCAAGGACGACAATACCCAGTTAGAGTATCTGAGCATCGCACTGAATCCTCCTTGGCGACTTTTACTCTCCTCTCAGCTGAAGCATACTATTTAGCAACGACACAGAGTGTTTCCCCACATGTCCTGAGTTTCCCCCGTTCTTGGGTACTAATTGGTCACAAGTCAATGTTGCGTCACCCCCAGTGTTCCTGGAGTTGCCGGGTGCCCTTCAGGCTCCAGTATAGGCACCAATCACACACCACCATCAGCGCCACTTGCTGTGTTCAATTCGGCAAGAGTTCCCGCTCGGAGCTCCTGGACGAGAAGAGCAATGACACAGGGCAAACTTCACTTGGAGCCTCTAGCTTCCCTGTAGGGAGAAAAGAAAACAACTCTGTTCTGTAGTTTGGTGTATTTGAAGGGCAGAGGGGGATGCTGCAAGTATCAGGCCTTACCTAGAGTTTCAGAGGTCACGCGGGATCAGAGCTACCTCTCAAGAAGCACACCCAAAAGCATTTTCTTTCTTTCTACGCAGTTTCCTAGAGAAAGCTGAATGCCAAGGAGAGGATTAACTGGGCACAGGTTGCTCTTGAGTTTAGGTTTGCCCTTGATGAAAACTTTGTAGGCTACCTGCATAGCAACAGTGCTTAAATTTAGTGTGTTTTACTTAACCAAATATAGCTAAAATGTCATCAACATGTAATTAACATAAAAAAACTATTCATAAAATTCTTTATTTCCTTTTGTAATAATAAATCCTTGAGAATTGATGTGGAATATAGACATAGACTACATCTCCATTTAATATCAAATTAAAATAGTTGGTCTATACGGATTCTACAAATTTTAAAACCAATACACGCCCTTTTTGTTTGTTGTTTGTTTGTTGTTTTGTTTTGTTTTTCGAGACAGGGTTTCTCTGTAGCTTTTGGAGCCTGTCCTGGAACTAGGCACACGGCTTTTTAATCTTAGCACTTGGGAGGCAGAGGCAGGCAGATCTCTGTGAGTTCGAGGCCAGCCTGGTCTTCAAGAACTAGTTCCAGGACAGGCTCTACAACTACAGTGAAACCTTGTTTCCAGGGACGGGGACACACACACACACACACACACACACACACACACATTCTCAGTGCTTCACACAGAAATACCAAACAAATTGAGAAGGCAATTTCCCTATGAAAGAAGAGGCGTCAGGGAGCTGGGTGTGGTTGCTCACCCCTTTAATCACAGCACTCAGGCGGAGGCAGGCAGCTCTCCGAGTATAGATCAGCCCGAATGTAGACTTCCTGATGTACAGTAAGTTCCGGGACAGCCAGGTCTACAGAGATACACCAACAGAATCCCAGCCAGGCTAACTTTAGCACACTGGGGCAATAAGTTCACTAAAAAATAAACACCACCTGTGTTTTATCCTGGTGGTGACTGTGTATCATCCCATTGATAGATAGGAGATGTCACAATCTGACATGATTGGCTAATTCATATTTAGCGTAAAGGAAATGAAGGAAGAGGGAAGGGGGCTGCCTCTCTCGGTCATCAAGTTTCAGAAATGAAGCAAGACCTTTGTATAAACAAAAGATTTACCAGGTAGAGGAGATTAAAAGGGTGACTGGGAGAATTAGGGAATATAGGCCCTTGGTAGGCTAGCCACCTTTGACAAAAAAAACAAAAGCAAAACCTTTCTCAAACAGTGTACGGTGATGCATACCTGTCATCCCCGCAGCCCGGAGACAGAAACTCAAGGATGTTGGTCTGGACCACCTGGCAAGTTCCAAGCTAGCCAAGGAAATACTCTGGTCCTATGTCTTAAAAAAATAAAATAAAATAATTAACTTAAAATCTTTAAGTGCTATTTTGAAATTCATTTCTGCAATAACTGAACCACAACTAAGTAGACTATACAATTCTAACCTCTCTCTAAGCATAAATACACTAACTATTATATTTTAATTTGTTTCTCCAACATCTATGATGTTTTTGTTTTGGGGGTTTGCTTGGTTGGTTGATTTGGGGTTTTGTTTTGTCTTGGTATTCACTAAATGGGCAAATGCTATGGACTTACTATGGAACTTAGACTGTGTACAGATAGAGACAAAAGTGTAGAAGTTCAAGGTCACCCTTGGCTACAGAGTAAGTTTAAGGCTGCCTGGGCTGCGTGAAGCCTTCTATAAGACAAATAACTACTAGGACCTTAAGAATGTTCAGCACTGGTGGGTAGTTCTTGCTATTTAAATTTTTTAAATCATTGTTTTCATAACCTATGTGTAATCCCCAGTCTTGTTTAACAAGACACAAAAATGAAGGAATGTGAAGTCTTTAGCAATAGCAATTTGTTTAAAAATCAGAGCTAGGTCAACTGTGCACATTGTCTTATTACCATAATCTAAGAATTTGGGCAGCTGAGGTGGCTTTGCCATCCTATCAAGGCCAATTTCAAATACCCAGTGAGTTCTGAATAGCCTGGGGTAAGAGATAGGGGTGCAGAGTGAGATCCAGCCAAAAACAAAACACCAAACTCACAAATACCAATGGCATTTAAAAATAGCGACCGGTGCCAGTCGTGGTGGTGCACACATTTAATCCCAGCCCAAGGGAGGCAGGTGTGGACGGATCTCTGAAAGTTCAAGGCCAGCCTGCAAAAGAGAGAGCAACAGGATAGCCAGGGCTACACAGAGAGATGCTGTCTCAACAACAAAGTAGCTACTGGCCTCATCCGATCTCATTTCTAGAGACTTTGGATAAGCAGTCAGTTACAGTTCCCTGACTTTGTGCTCTTTCATGATCTTTATGGAGCAGCAGTGTGAATCTCTCCAACCTTCTAGGATTACCTTTGTGCAATATATTTTGTAGTTCTAGGAGATTAGCCCATTTGTGTGTATATATCTTCTTTACAATTGTTTGCCTCTGGCCTAAACAAGGAACTCTCAACAGAGGAATCTAAAATGGCTGAAAGACACTTAAGGAAATGTTCAACATCCTTAGTCATCAGAAATGCAAATCAAAACAACTCCGAGATTCCCTCTTACAATTGTAAGAATGGCCAAGATCAAAAACACTGATGACAACTGCTGGAGAGTTTGTGGGGAAATGGGAACACTTCTGCATTGCTGGTGGGAATGCAAGCTGGTACAGCCCTTTTGGATGGCAGTGTGGCGATTTCTCAGAAAATTAGGAAACCACCTTGATCATCCTTGATCCAGGAAGCCTACAAGAATGCCCCCTTTATTGTGTTCAGAGGCAGATTATATAGAGATAGCCACGCCCCAGCCAAACCCACCAGAAACCACTCTCCTGCCTTCAAGAACTCCTGGGGGGCTGGTGCTCAGAGCAGCTGTAGGCACTCAAATCAGGGGAAAACAAGTTGTTGACAAGAAATTCAGGGTCTGGAGGTTCATGGCTCCCAACAAGGCATCACTAGCCTTTTTTTTTCCTACCATCTATCTGTTTTAACCTAGAACGCAGACATCCTCCTACCTCTGCCTCCCAAGTGCTAATAGCAAAGGCATGTACCACTATGCCTCGCTTAAATTAAAATGTTAGTTCTGATGTTTACTGGGAAAACTGTTCCTTCTTTGAGTACTTAGTCTCATTAATACAAGAATTTAAAAACAGGTTCAGAAGGCCAAGACCAGTTTTATTAGAGTTTGAAAGACAAACAGTATAGGCAAGCAATAGGAAAACCCGAGGAGTCTTGAGGAGAGGAAGAAAAAAAAAAAACATACTGTTAGTTACCCATGGAGAACAGAAACTGAATGGCCATGAAAACTGTGGTCAGGTTGGCTGAGCAACACACCAAAAAGTTCAGAGGACGCTAAAACCTAGACTCTTGTGTCTCAGGGGAAAGAACTGTACCAGGGCCATGTGGTTGAAAAATGAATAGAGACAGATTATAAAGAAAAATCTCCCCCAAGGATAATGGACTACAGGGCTAAGGAAAAGTTCCCAGAAAGCATCTAGCCACCTGATGGATAGCCTGCCTTTTACTTTGGCGGATCGCGGGCTTTTTTTTTTTTTTTTTTTTTAATTGGTGCCCAATCTGGTTCCAGCCTTCCTCTGCGATCTGGCTTCTTTCATATGTTAATCTAGATGGTTCCATCCTGTTCAGCTCCTGACACGTGATCTTCCAATTCGGCTAAACTATTCAAATTATTGTTTTCCAACAGGATTTCTTATTCCCGTACCGCTCTACCGTTTGTCATCAGTAGGATTTGCTCTCTACAGTTTAATTTCACTCTGAGCTTTCCTTTCAGGGTACTACACTGTACTGCCTTGGGAACCTGGGGAAGCCTGAGAGTAGGCGATGCGTTCTTATGTTCTTTTCTCTTTCACCGGACTGCAACCCGAAGTGGAAAAATACAGAACTTTTCAACGGTTTGATATTGAATTGGACGCGAGCTTTAACTTCTAGAGTTTCAAAATAAAGCAAATTCTGCTTTTTAAAAAAATCTATTCTAAAACGTTTAGAAGGAAATAAATTTGATGTAGAGTTAAGAAGCATAATCGCTCGAAAGGGTATTACAAGATTCGGGTTAAACCAATGGGAGAGTAAACCGGCTCTCTAACAGCTAACCAATCAGACAGGGAGAAAGGAAGTCTTAATTTGCATAAAACTCCCTACAAATAGACAAACAACGTGTTCTCAGGCTTCACTTTCTTTTTCTTGCACGGAAAGAAATCTGAATATGCCTGAACCTGCGAAGTCCGCGCCCGCCCCGAAGAAGGGCTCCAAGAAGGCCGTGACCAAGGCACAGAAGAAGGACGGCAAGAAGCGCAAGCGCAGCCGCAAGGAGAGCTACTCGGTGTACGTGTACAAGGTGCTGAAGCAGGTCCACCCCGACACCGGCATCTCTTCCAAGGCCATGGGCATCATGAACTCGTTCGTCAACGACATCTTCGAGCGCATCGCGGGCGAGGCGTCGCGCCTGGCGCATTACAACAAGCGCTCGACCATCACGTCCCGGGAGATCCAGACGGCCGTGCGCCTGCTGCTGCCCGGGGAGCTGGCCAAGCACGCCGTGTCCGAGGGCACCAAGGCCGTCACCAAGTACACCAGCTCCAAGTGAGCGCACCAAACTCGCTCTTAACCCAAAGGCTCTTTTCAGAGCCACACAACTGTTCACAATTAAGAGCTACGCACCACTCTCACACTAATATCCCGTCTTTAAAGCGACAGTATTAGTATTCTCCACTTCCTGCAGGCAGAGTCTTAACTAGGCACTCTTGTATTTCTATGAATCAGTTTGGCCTCTGCATTCTGAAGCTACCCAGAAATACTTAACTGCAATTAGAGTATTGGAACAATGAGTCCAGAACGATCGTTTTCAGCACCTTGTGCTATGTAAACGTTAGGTTCAACCCTAGTGTCTGCGGGAGAGGAACGGACCGCTGAGCGACCTGACCGAACGCCCGTTTTCCCGAGCTTTTGTTTTAAGTATTCCTGGGAAATTAACAGTCACGGGAAGGCGGAGTGAAAAACCGTGGATTTATCACCTGATTTAGCTAAGGAAGATGAATCTGATTTTCTCGTTCAAAACAAGCTTGTTGGTTCGGTGCCTGTTAGCCGGCTCTGGGTGAAGCTCAGGTCGCCATTTCCATGGCGCCTCCCAGGATAGAGACCGCCTGTCTCAGCTCGCCGAAAGCGAAAGTGCCTGAAGCACCAGCGCCCACTTTTACCTCTTCTAAATCGTTCAGCGCCCCCACCGCCTCCAAAGAAGTGGCCTGGAGCTTTTGCATTTTAAGCTTTTACATATGAATTGGGTTGTGGGAGAAGCATCAACAACATATCCATTTTAAAAAGAAACAAACCGGTTTGTTTACTTTTTCAATTACAGGAAATGGTGGAAAGGCTTTGTTTGTAAAACTAAAAGGAAAATCAAGTAGGCAGGCCTGGAAGCATTTCATTTCCTTCTTCCTTGTCCTAACTGCTGAGTGTCTTAAACAGCAAGAAAAATTTTTAAACCCCTTTCCTGGCTTGTTTTGGAAATGAGATCTGGAAATAAAAAAAAAAAAAATCCTAGCATTTGTAATGTAGCCAGGCTCTGTAGTCTACAGATTATAAATTTAGCTATTTTGGAACTATATGTCCCAGGAGGGAGGGACCCTGACCCAATGTGAGGGGAAAAAAATAAAGTAGGATATCAGGGGTGCTGGGGAATGGAACTAAATCCCCGGTTCCAGTGAGCTACAGCCATGCTGCCTGCTATTCCATGTTTCCTTTCTCAGGCTGGACAACTACCTTTATCCGACCTCCCTTTTTAATAGTGAGGTAATAACAAGCCGGGAAGTAGGCCTTTAATCCCAGCACTCGGAAGGCAGATGCAGGCATATCTATGTGAGTTCGAAACCAGCCTGGTCTACAAGACCAGCCAGGATAGACTACAAAGCTACCGCCAAACCCTGTCAGGAAAAAAATAAAAGAAAAAAAAGTTACTTTAAAGTAACAAAATTGCAACTGTAATCCAGGAGACCGCTGCGTGTAAAGTCATTTGCTAGCATGCCTGAAGACCGGAGTTCTGTGCACTAAACCCACATGGCACTCAGGTAAAAAAAAAAAAAAAAAATGTCCTCTATCCTACATGGCAAGCAGGGCATACACAGATAAACAAATGTTTGGGTTTTTGTGTTTTTCACTTTAAAAAAAAATTGCAATGATTGTGAGTTTAGAAACAAGGCTGAAACTTCCTGGTGAATTATTGGCTTCTAAGAATTCAAATGTCCATGTTAGCATCTTGTTTGTTTAGCTTTCTTTTCTTTGGAATGAGATCTCCTGGCTACCCTGGAGCAGCTACAAAGCACAAACTAATCTCAAACTCTCAGCAACCCTCCAACTCACTGTTTCTAAACGTGGATTTATGGGTGGAGGCCACCACACCTTGTAGTGTTTGTTCCTGTTTGGCTTGTTTGTTTTGTTTTGTTTTGTTTGTCTGTTTTTAAGGTGTAGTCTGGAACTCACAGACCAACCTGTCCCAGTTCCTCCTGTGGCCTCTGCCTGCTGAGTCCTGGGATTAGAGTGAACCTCCACACCTCTTGTCCTGTTCAGATTTAAAGCATTCCTGACTGAACCTGCCTTCATTTCCGTACTGACCTTAAGCCCAGAACTGAGGTGGAAAGGAGGCCTCCGTGGAATGTCAGAAGATTCTTCCCAGGATTTTTTTTTTTGGGGGGGGGGGATGTTGTTGTTGTTGTTGCTTTTATCTTTTCCTGCTCTTTCAAATCCCCATGACTCTCTCCAGTCTCTGAACTTTGCAGATTTTTCTCTAGGCCTAACTGGGCTACTTAGCAAGGATCTGCTATTAAATAAGAACAAAAAATCTTGACTGCAGGGCAGTGGGCACCACCTGTTGGTCTTATTGAAGGACACAGATGGTTCCAACACACAAGATTTCTGTCATCTTCAGGGTCTGGGATCTGTTTTGCAAAAGTTTCCAAAAGGAAGTGTTGGCAGGACAGCTGAATAAATCTAGTGACTTGTGAGCCTGATCATCGGAGTTTCATCCCTGGAATCGCTGTAAAGGTGATAAATACCAACACACACACACACACACACACACACACACACACAAAGAATTCAGTACTCAGGGGACACTGATGTTCTCTTTCTCTCTCTGATGATATTTTGGAAACATCTGATTTGCAGATGAAGGTTAATAAAGTCCTGGACCGTATACTGTTCCTTGAGGGGCAGATGTAAGATTTATATGTCAAACTACTGTGTTTATTTTACAGACTAAGAAATTAGAAAAGATTCTAAACAGGGAACTAACAAGTTTCAGTTCTTCAGGTTTCCAAGACTGGATTGATTAGAGAATTTGGTTTGGTTTGGTTTAGTTTTAAGACTGACTAGCATCGATATCTCATGGGCCTTGAACAGAGGATGGCCTTGACTTTTTACTAGTCTCTACCTACCTCCTGGGTGCTGACAGTAAAGAACAAACCACCAGGCCTGCTTCTATAGACACTGGAAATGGAATACTGAGCCAAGCTAACACTGTGCCTGGAGCTACATTGCCAGGGCCCACCTCACTCTTCCCCGGCCTTCGTTCACTCCCGGGAAACCACTATTGATGAATAAAATTCGTTCACTCCCGGGAAACCACTATTGATAAAATATACTCATACATGTAAAACTTTTATACATACACAGGACTATTATTGGGGGAGGGGCCATCCTGGTCAAGAGACCAGAATATCTGGCCTAGGTGGGAATCTTAACACTCCTGGGACCAACCTTAGGCAGTTTCACCTTAAACCATGCTAGAGACACGTGGATTCCTTTTTTCCTGTATTGAGATGCTTTACTTTTCATTCCCAAACTTCGCATCCTAGCACAATTCATTCAATGTGAGCAGCCACTTCCTAAAACTCCAATTTTTACCTTTCTTTTTAAGTCTTAAGTATGCTTCTTCTGAAACTTTGGCCCTGGGCCTGTGATTGCATCATGATGTCTGAGATCAGATCACCCGGGAACCGGGGTTAGAGGCCTTTGAAGGACAAGTGGCTGCGGAGAAAAAAACCTGAGTGGTCAGAGCTCAACTACATTGGTATCTCTCAGCCCAACAAAATTGTTAGCTGACTGAAAATTAGTCGGACAAAAATCCAAAGGGGACTTAGTATGAAAATAAGCCGTACATGAACTCCAAAAGTTGGGGAAAGCAACTAATGCACCGTCCAACGGTGAGATAGTTTCAAAGGCAATTGAGTAACTGTAAAACTACTAAAGCAACCTCACAAAACAGAACGAGAAATTGAGTACGCCCTTTTACGTGAAAATGTGGGTGGCCCTGAAAAGGGCCTTTTGTGAACAAAGACTAGGTGATACATTTAACCTCCGAAGCCGTAGAGGGTGCGGCCCTGGCGCTTGAGCGCGTAGACCACGTCCATGGCCGTGACGGTCTTGCGCTTGGCGTGCTCCGTGTAGGTGACCGCGTCGCGGATCACGTTCTCCAGGAACACCTTCAGCACCCCGCGGGTCTCCTCGTAGATGAGGCCGGAGATGCGCTTGACTCCTCCGCGCCGGGCCAGGCGGCGGATGGCGGGCTTGGTGATGCCCTGGATGTTGTCGCGCAGGACCTTGCGGTGGCGCTTGGCGCCGCCTTTTCCCAGACCTTTGCCACCTTTGCCGCGACCAGACATTGTGTAGCTCTAACTGAAAGCTCAGTACACAATGACTCCAACACGCCTGCTTCTTAGCTTTTATAATACCAAGGCGGACCTGTTTGAAAACCTCAAGAGGAGGGGCGGAAACAACTGTCAATTACGGCCCTTCTGTGCGTTTGTCCAATGAAAAGCTGGAGGCGGGACCTGAGACAACAGTAAAGACAAGAGTTAAAATTTAACACATTGTATTAAGTATGTCTATACAATTCGTTCTGCCTTCAATAGGGATAACTATATGTATTAGCAACAAATAAGTTTGGCATTTGTTGCTTATTTCACTAAATAGTAAGTAGTACATTATGATTGCTCCAAGTCACCGCGGTTCTCAACCTGTGGGTCGCCACCCGGATCTATATCACCTATTTATATCAGATTTTTGCATCGTTACAGTTACGAAAGAGCAACAAAAATAATTTTACGGTTGGGGGTTCAGCACAGCATGGGAACTGTATTAAACGGTCTCGGCATTAAAAAAAAAAGTTGAGAACCACTGTGTCTAAGTTTTAAGTCCAGTTTTAAGAACACAGACATTGTTTCAGGTTCGAAGACTTGTACTGACTTAGGTAATCTGAGCAGTGTTCTTTAGCATGCAGATTGACCAAGGGAAAGTAAAAGCTCAGGTCGTTACAGGACTAGCGGTCTGAAATTAAAAGATGTATACTGGATATTCATCCCACAGGTGTGAATCTTCTACATGATTTACACAGAAAAATTAGGGGATCGGGAAATGAGGATCGTGGGGAGGTTCTATTTTTATTCCGCCTTCATTGACCCAGAATTCCCTGTGTGTATGTTTTAGTCAACAAACATTACATGCTTGTTGAGATGAAAATCGTGTTACTAATGATTTCCTGGAAATGTGTAGGAGTCCGTGAATGAATGGTTCTACTGTTATCTTTGTCCTTCAATTATTCTTACAGAATTCTTTGAAGAGAAATAGTAAAACTAGGTTTCAGACCTCCTAGGGTTAGACTTGAAACTTTATGCAGATTAAATCAAGT